GCACGTGGAGTCGCTGAGCGCGATTAGCTGTTTACAAAGGCGGCGGAAAAGGCAGCAATCCGAAAGGGAGAGAGCGGAGAGGGAGAGAGGAACGTGAGGTGGGGATGGGGGTCATGTTGGAATTTGAGGGAGCTGCATGCGGAGGCCAGAGGAAGCGAGGAGGAGGGGGTGGAGCGGCACGACACCAGGGAATGTGGTCCCCGAGAAAAAGCCAGCACCACCTTTTCTTCGTCCTCCTCCTGCCCCCACCACCACCAAGTCCTCCTCCTCCTCCGGCCCCCCCCACCACCACCACCTCCTCCTCCTCCTCCTGCCCCCACCACCAACACCACCAACACCACCTCCTCCCCCCCCCCTGCCCCCACCTCCTCTCACCTCTCCCTGCTGCAGGAGCTGTTGTTGTAGGGTGGCGGCGTGCTGGTCGAAGAGGAGGAGAGACTGATGAAGGTCGCGCTCCTCTAGCTCCAGCTCCCTCACCTCCTTCGCTACCTTGCTCCTCCTCCGATTCTCCTCCAGCTGCTGCCGATCGCACTGAAGAGAAGGCCATCACTCTCCTTCTCCTCCTCCTCCTCCTTCTCCTCCTCCTCCTCCTCCTCTACTCACACCTTCGTTCCCTCTGACACGAGCTTACCCTCCTATCTCCCTCTCTCCTCCTCGTGTGCGTCTCCTCACCTCCTCCGCCACTTGTTTCAGCTGGTCGCGCATCCAGTCGCACAGGGCGAGGGTCTGCTTCCGCTCCTCCTCCTGCTTCCTCGCTTCCTTCTCCCACGTCCTCGCCTTCCATCGCCACTGCAAGAGCTCCGTGGGGTTGCCCTGCCCCACCTGCTCGTACTTCTCCTCCCACCTCCGGACCTCCTCTAGCAACTGCAGACACTGTCAGCTCGGATCCTCTCCTCCTCCTCTCTATGTTGCCCTCCTTCTCTCCTCCTCCTCACTTCATCTCGTTCAGCTTCAGCCACGGTCAGCTTGCTAGTCACGGTCGCGTGCTCGTGGAGCAGCTGCTTCATCTGCCATGCTCCGAGTCGCGCGTGTCGCTCGGCCTCCTCCTTCTGCCGTCGCATCTCCTCGTACGTCTTGGGCGTGTAGACGTCTCTCCTCCTGCTCCAGCTCCCCGAGCGAGGAGGCGAACCGGCGGACTTGGAGGGCTGACTCTGACCTCCTCCGCCCCGACCTTCTCCTGCTCCCCATGCTGCAGGCGCTCGACCAGTCGCTCCAAGTGGCTACGGAGGAAGCGCTCGGACTGCTGCTTGTGCTTGTTAAGCGTGTTGATAGTTCGCTCCTGCTCTGCCGTCTGCCGCTCGAGGGAGAGCAGCCGCGCCTTCTCCTCCTCTCTCCCCGCTTCCTCCTCCTCCCTCATCCCCTCCAGAGCCGCAACCTTTGCCTCCAGCTCCCTCACCCTCCGCAGCGTCTGCTCGAGCAGGCTGCTGCTCTCGCTCGCCTGCTCCTCGAGGAGGTGGTTCCATGCCAGCAGCGCGTCCTCGCGCGCCTGCTGATGCCCCTCCCTCTCCTCCATCGCCCCCGACAGCGAGGACGCGATCCTGCGGGCCATGAGCAGCTCGTGCTTGAGCAGCTTCCCCTCGCCTAGCAGCCGCAGCTGCTGCTCCCTCACCTGCTGTCTCAAGGCGTCGGCAGCAAGCAGCTTCTGCTGCAGGCGGTCGTTGATCGCCTTCTCCGACAGCAGCAGCTGCACCAGCTCCTCGTTCCGCCCTGTCAGCCTCCTGACCATCTCAACCAGCTCCGCCTCCCTGACCTCGTACAAGTTCTCTGAGGACGTTCCTCTCGCCGTCCTCTCCCTCCTCCCACCCTCGTCATGCTCCCAAGTCTTGTCGCCTTGACCCTCCTCGCTCATTTGCCAGGCTCTTAGAACCTCCTCCGTCAACTTCATCGCGATCAAGATCCTCTTCCGTCACTCCATCCTGTTAGTACACCCCCATCCTCCTCTCCTCTCCTCTCCTCTCCTCTCCTCTCCTCTCCTCTCCTCTCCTCTCCTCTCCTCTCCTCTCCTCTCCTCTCCTCTCCTCTCCTCTCCTCTCCTCTCCTCTCCTCTCCTCTCCTCTCCTCTCCTCCCTCATAGCCTCCTCCCATATTCTCCGCCTCTAAAATCTCCAGGTAGGGCCGGCAAGAAAGGAAATGCGAAACCATGGTGAAGCTACCAGACTCGTCCTCCCCTCCCCTCCCCTCCCCTACCCCGCTCCTGCTCCTGCTCCTGCCCCTGCCCCTGCTCCTGCTCCTGCTCCTGCCCCTGCCCCTGCCCCTGCCCCTGCTCATGCCCATGCCCATGCTCCTGCCCCTGCTCCTGCTCCTGCTCCTGCCCCTGCTCCTGCTCCTGCTCCTGCTCCTGCTCCTGCTCCAGCTCCTGCTCCTGCTCCGGGTGTCTTTGGGTCAACACACTAACAAAGGC